TAAGGAAAGCCATGCTTAAAAAAAAATCAGGGTCCAGTTTCTTATTGGTGGAAATCTGTTTTCAATAAGAAATCTGAAACAAATAGTTGTAGAAATAGAATACTATACAAATTCCAAGTCCATAGGAAGGAAAGTATTCAGTAGTAAAAAACCCAGAAATTCTTGTAAACTTTTAATTAAAAAATAAAACTAAACTCTGATTAACACTGAGAAAAAGTTGCTTTTTAATATTTTCTATTTTCAATCTTTCCCTTTCAATAAAGATCCTGATTTGAATCAGTAAGCACAGAGAAACTACTAAAGCAAATGCAGGTCTAATGTATTTGGCTGAATTCTTCCCAACTATTTTGATATTTATCAAAAAAGCCCTCTTAGCTGAGAAAGAGAAGGGAAAAGTGATGTGAGAAGAGACGTTCTTGGAATTTTTTTTTGCAGGAAAAGCAATAAAACATTTTGGAAGTATAGCAAGAGTAGACAATTCATCAGAGAAGCCTTAGACAGGAAGTTAGAGTGCTAAGGGGCTTGGGGAACTCTGGGCCATGTGGGGATGACATTGTCCTCATCACTTGAATACCAGTCAAAAATTTTAGACAGCAGTTGACCTTATTCTTCCTTTTTGGACAGATGATGCTTTCCAAATGATGCTGGTGGTGCTGCCAGCAGATTAATTTATAGACCTTCAGTGGACAGATATAACTTTCCCAAGCTCAACCCAGGTGATCAGTCAGAGCAGAGTGCAGAAAAATGGCTATTGATGCTTTTCCTTTCCCCTCTCAGGACATTCACTCAGAACATCTTTCTGCTAATCCTGCTCTGGACTCAAGCTCAATTATTTTTTCTGCAGTTTTCATAGATCTCTCTTCACCACTGTTTCATTGTCTATAGGGGGCAGTTTTCTATATGAGGGACAAGAAGGTGTCTCATCTACCTCCTGATGTGACTACTTCTTACTTTCCATTGCCATCCTCCACTTCTGTTGCTTCTGCCAATATTTGTTTTCTTTCCTTTCACCACATCAGATGTGCCCAGTATGTCTGTAGGTACTACTGGTCCTCTTGATTTGAGAATCAAATGGCTTCTCAGCTGTCAACGGGGCACCTCTTTATTATTTTCCTTTATAAGATATTTTTTGAAAATTGAGAAAAATGAGCAGAAAATAGAATAGTAATTATCAGATAAAGTCTATCTCAGCAAGATAGTTTTTTCCCCAGGGGTAGCATGTAGGCAGGTGTAAGATAATTAATGATGAGCAGAGTTTACTTAGCACATGACTGTAGAGCAATATTGGGAAAACTCACTTTGGGAGAAAAAAACTTATGACTGCAGTGGTTTTTTTCTTCATTCTTTTGGAGAATATTTGTCCAGAAATTTCCATGTTAGGTGCATTTTGAATGATCAACAATCCCCGTGCAAATTGCTGTGGCCTAATTTTTGCTTGGGTAGAGCCACGACTGGGGTCCTGCTCGCTTGTCCTCTTCATATGGAAGTGCCTAATCTTATTTTCTTTGCTTCATTTCATTTTCTTTGCTGTGTAATGATATCTGTGTTTACTTTGATAACCAGAAGTTGGTAAATTTTTACACTTCCCTATATCTTACTTTTTCTTGGAAAAGTTCAGACCTTTTAATAATCATTTACGAATGCAAGTGGGGCAAACGTTCTAAGATATTCTCAAATTGTACAAAAATACAGAGTAAAAAAGTTTAAAAATAGAATAGAAATACTAGGAACACAGTGTAGAAATTTCAGAAGATTTAGCAAATGACACATTTCAATGCAAAATGTAGCAATTTGCAATTACAATTTATTCTAATTGTGTTCCAGGTACTCTATATTTATTACTTGCCTAAGGAAATCTCACTTCTCTCCTTTTGACTGCAATCTTCAACACTGCAGCATTTATATTTATTTATTTATTCCCACAAAAATCTGTGGGTTTTCTTTTCCTGATGACTGCTTGAAAGTTATACATAAACTTGAAACAGTCCTGGATATGTACTTGCATCATGCCCCAAAGAATTTGTGGGGTTTAGAACTGGCCTGATTCTAATGCTGTGGAATTACACAGAAAGAGAATCAGTCATTCAGGAGCAAGGTCATAGATGAGCTTTGATGAGTTGTTTTATCAGTGAATAATTTTTTCCACAGTAATATCAATGGTGGGTTTTTTGTTTGTGTTGTCCAGCTTTTACTATCATTTTGTGTGCTTTCCACCCTGGCCCCCAAGAGAATTTTTAGTTTGGAATAACATTTTTTTAAATCAGCACATCTTTTACTGTATAGGCTCTCACTATGATCTGAGAAAGACATCTGGACACCCAGTGCAGAGTCCTTATCTCTAGAAATGGAGCTAATTAAATTAGGACTGCATCCCTGTAGAGACTTTTAGGAGCATTGGGTAAAAAGAAGTGAGGTGTAATACTGGGTGTGTGGGAGGGCAGTGAGGATGGGAGTTGGACAGGTGATTGTGCACAGATCATTCATTGTATTAGAACAAATGTTCATTGTATTAGAAAATTTTCTGTGGTAAGAAAAGTGGACAGTGATCTTTCTTTAAAGGATCAATCTTTTTATTTACATATATATGTGTGTGTGTGTCTCTTCATGTGGGATGCAGAGAAGCCAGCAATATGTAAATGTTGAACAAATCTACCTGCAGGGTAAGCTGTGGTGAACCTTCTAGAAAAATAGCTAATTGAATGATGTTTTCTGGATTTTCAACAAGTGTTCATTTATAGATGTAATTAGGGCATTGAGGGGAGTTAGAATAACCCATCAAACAATATTGATACTACTGAAAAAATCCAAATAAATCTCTAGCTCGTCTCCATGAGCATCCTTGTTCTCACTGCTGTTCTGTTTAATCCTCCAGTTTTCTCAGGGATATATTTTCTGGAAATATGTTTCAGTTCTTTAAATTATTAATGTCATTAAAATTTATAATTTTCTGTCATTACCTCTAGGAAAATAGAGATTGTAATATGAAACATAATTGTCTCATTTTGTGATTTGTGTTATGATAGTTGAGCACAACTAAAGCAGATTTAAGTATTCCCCTGAGCACTATGACGTGGTTTTGCCAACTAACTGAAGTTCTGTGTGTGCAGATAAACAGACAGATAAACTAATTCCACAAGCAACCAATATTTGAGTTTCTGAGACATCTTTGACAGGATGTGTATCACTTAGAGGGGACACAAAATGTGTATGGTGGGAGCTGAACTGAAGGTTTGGATGATGTGTGGTTCTTTTTTTCTCTGTTTTCAGCCAGTTTGTTTGAGTGTGCCTGCCAAGGGATTCAGCCTAGGAGGTTATGAGTTAAAGCTATGCCATTAAATTGTCTCTCCCTCAGACTTCAGCTTAGAGGTGTCTTTTAACACCCCTCAGATCCACAGATGGGAAATCTTGAGGGGTCTGTAGAGCCTGGGGGTCTGCTACATTGTCTCCTTGCACGGCTAGAAAATGCTACCCAGCATTTTCTATTTCTATTTCTCAAAATCTTTGTCTTCTATATGGATGTATTTGTTTTCTGATTTACTGTTTTCATGCCACACCAGTTGGTCTGTCATTAATGCAATGAATTTCACCTTCTTCAAAGTTAAAAATTCATGTTCCTAACAAAAAAGGGGAAATTGGCAAAGAACTGAATTGAGCCAAGGTACAGTACTAGTCAACCATAACAAGTAATTATTATAACCCTATGGTCATTTCCCTCACAGCTTGACAGAGAAAATTGCAAGAAAACAAAGTAATTTTTTCTTGAATGTTAAATGTCCAGAGCCAGGCTCACTTTTGCTGATGATGCATCACAAGATGTGAGCCCTGTTGACCAAGCACCTGCAGCAACATGAGTGTGATTTGCAGCCCCCTGAGCTGCAGGGGCCTGAGAGAGCCCTGTGCAGACTAGGCACTGGGCTGGCCCAGCTGTGCAGCCAGGGCAGTCCAGCTGTGCTGGGGATGGGCTGATGTGACTTGCAGATGCTGCTGGTGGCCCTGGTGAGGAGCTGGGATGTACAGCAGGTGCCTGGGGCATGAGGGCAGGCAGCAGTGCCTGCCTTTCCTCACAGTGAGCTCCTGCTAGGACAAAAACATCACAAGCTGCACCTTTGTTATGATTCCAGGATCAGCTAAGCCTGTGATTTTCAAACTGGGGTAAAAAAATGAGGTTTTGGTTTTGTGTCTTTCTTTAAACACAAAATGTGTAAAGCATGGAGTGGAGCTGGCTTCAGCCGCCTTATAAGAGCAGTAGATGCAGGCTCTGTCCCAGGATGGATTAGCACATTGGGGTGTGTGAAGGTCTGCAACAAAGCTTTACAAATTGTGAAGCCTGGAAAGAAAAGCAGCCTGTCCTTGAGGTCTCCTTATGTCTTCTCCCAAATTATTCTCTGTGCACAAACTGATGTTCCTAAATGTGTCAGACCCCTCCATAAAGTTTCTTCTATTTTTTATTTCCTAATACAGACAACCTCAAAAGACTTCCTTGAGTCATTATCAGGATTAGTCTGCAGAAATGATCTACTGTACTTATGGGAAAAGTGCTTTCTTGTAATGTTGTTCACAGGTGAAAGAGCCATATTTCCTGAAGACTGTTATGTTTTTCGATTGTTATTTTGACCTGAGGATATAGTGAGGTTCTAGTCTGTCAAACAAAAGGTCTTTCTATATAAATTTCATTTCAAGGTGCTTTTTTTTTTCTTTTTAAAGAACTCTATTGAGACCATTTTGGTGCTTTCCTTTGAGGAACTACATCTGCAAAATTGTAGTATTGCCAAGATGGATAGTACTGTTTTAGGATCTTTTCTTTTGTTTCAGATGATGTATAAAAAAATAGCATTGTTGTTATTAAATGCAAAATTACATTTGGTGTAGACTCAGCATGTGCATCTGTAAAATAATTCCCCTACTGTATTTAAAAAACAAACATTTAACCAATAATGAAAGAAATACATAAAATGTCTGGACAAACATATGTTTTTAAATGGCTGTGTCTCCCTTCACAGGAAATCACTGATAATGAAATATTAGAGTTGGTGCATAGTGCTCTGGGGAGGATGACAGTGATCCGGCAGATTTTCCCTCTGGCAAGGGACAACAACCAGAGGTGCATGAGGAACAACCACCGAATATCCTCGCTGCTGTGTGATCCACAGGAAGGCTACCTTCAGATGCTGCAGGTCAGTAGCTGTACACAGCAGAAAAAAAGTCCACCTTAAGAATTTGCCATGGGGCAGTTTGCTGTGGCTGTATGAACTCAGAGGAGGAAGGAAATGAGTACAGATAAATCTGATCTGGTCAATGTTTCTTGACTTTATTAATTTTTTTTATTTCCCAGTACTGAGTGCTTTAGATGTGATATTACATCCATGAAGTATCAGCAAGTGGTTGCACTAAGTCAGAACTGATTTTGCATATTTGAGTCTCTTAAGAATCTTTTTATATTTGGAAAATGTTGTGCAATCATAGTCCTGTGATATTACAGCTTGCTTATTGTATTTATGCTTATTCAACATGTGTTGTGAAAGAGTTAACCTGGGAGGATAATAGAACTCTGAGAGGTAGTGGGCTGCAGAGCATTTCATATTTAGATAATGGACTGAATCAAGCTGATGTATTCAGTCTGTCCCTTTCAACAGCCTCAGAAGTCCCCAGCAGCTGCTAATTGTCTGAGCGTGTAAAATATGCACTGCTAGTTCAAGTTTCAGGTTTTGGTAGCACATCTGACTTTGGTGTCAGCAACATCTTGACATGTCTTGGCAAATTGTCCCAGATATCAGAATTTTTCTCGCAATAATTTAAATATTATTTAACAGGTGCTCTTTCCAAGGATAGTGCAATAATTCAGAAACAAAGGCCTTGGACTTTCAGTAGGACTTGTGTGTTTTGGTTTACTTTAGACATAGTTAAAAATCTTATTTGTATCAGTGTTGCATATAGGTATAAACTTTAGTGGGACTTATATTATAAACTCACTTAAAGCCCTTTAATTGCAAACTTAGTCTTTGACTGAGATGGGTTGAATGAGGACACAGTGGTTGAGCCTGTGGGCTGTCCAGTGTGGGTGTGCATGGTGAGGTGATGGAGAAGGGGCTTGGTTAGGCTTGAGGAGGGGCTGTCACCAACCTGGGCTGCTGCAGCCTACTCAGGAAGGTGTGTGGGGTCAGGGCTCCTGCAAGATGGAATCCTGTCCTGGCTGGGAAGACTTTCAGACCAGGAGAGACAGAGAGAATGTCAGGAAGGAAAGTGGGTTAAGATTTCCCAAGGGAAATTTGCACCCTACTAAAAAGTTGTAGCTGCAGAGACTGAAATCCTTTAAGGGGCAGATATGAACAGTTCTTCCTTGAAGAGAAGCTCTGCTGGCTCAGGTTCTGTCCTAGCCATGGCAAAGTTTGGGAAAAGCCAAACACACCCCCTGTAGTTCTGATCGTGGCTGTATTCTTTCAGCACAGGGGAAAGGCTATGTCTGCCTTGGCTCAGAAAGAAAAGACACTTTTGATCTTTGTTAGTAACTCTGAGGTATGCTGTAATGAGAACAACAGCCGCTCATTTCAGAGGATCAAAGCAATTTCCAGTGTGATGAAAAATTATCTATGCTGCACCAACAAATCACTCATTGGGGAATAATCTTCCATTACAGCAGGATTTTGAGTACAGCTGCCTGTGCTGGTATATCCATAATCTAATTCAGAGACTCATCTGAAGGGCTCTGACAGGCCACTGAGCAAGTTCTAATTTGCAAATTTGCAAACTGGTAACTGGGAGGTGGTTTGCTAACACCATCAGCCTCATGTCCTATTACTGAATTTAATTGATAAGGATCTTTAGATAAGGACCCTCATCCTGCTGATTTCCAGATGTGGATTTTTGGAAACAAAACCCTCTCAGCTTCTGTCTTCCAGAAATTTTATACCACCTTAGAAACTGTCTTTGAGAGAATGGAATGGTAATGTTGTGCTTTGCCAACTGGTTCCTTCTCTATGAACTCAAAAACAAGAGAGATAAAGAAGTGCAGAGGTAAAATGTTTTTGGCAGCTGATTCGGTAACTTTCATGTTCAATTGCATTGGCATGAAAGACGGAGGGCATGTGTGAGAGCTGTCCAAATTAGCTGTCCCCAGTATATTTTTAAGTGTCTATAGATTGAATACAGGATGCTTTTGTCATGTGCAGTTATACCTGAAGTGTTCTGTAGCTACATTTATTTTTCATAGGTTTTGCCAAAATATCTTATGTAACACGTTGTGAACATACAGCTCATATTAATTTGAGTGTGATTGACATGTTATTAATGGTCCTGTAATTCAGCTACTTGCAATTTTCTGTTTCCCTTTTCCTGCTTAAAAAATTAGTGGTGACCTTTTGCTGTTCAGAAGTACATCACTGAATTACCCCTGTTGCCAGAGGCTGCAGGAGCTCCAAGCTCCATGTCAGGCTGCATGAATCCACCAGAGGCAGTGACCGCCTGCCAGCATCGAGTCTTTGTGTTGCTTTGAAGTACTTTGATTAACCCCACAGTTTGGAAATCCCTGCCTTATTCTCCCTTGGGCAGTCTCATATTAATAATTGTTTGTTGTCAAGGTAACTTACCAGCTATTGTTGGTTAATTATTTATTTAATGACTTTGAAGAAGAATAAGCTAATCTCTGTCAACCTCTAGCTGTAGTGTTTTCTAGGGGAGAATTTAACACTTTTAACAAGCTAGTGAAGAAAGAAACATTTACGTCATGGATTATTAACTTTGTTCTGGCTAAATTAATGAAAATCTTTTTGGAACGATTTTGTTCTCTGCGTCTTTAGTACCATATCCTGGAAGGTTGTTTTTCAGTGGGTGATCATCCCGGTTTGGCTTTCTGACAAGCCTTTTAAAGATCAGGCTGTTCTGCAAGCTCATCCAAAAACTCATCTGTTCTGAATGCTTTGTGGAAATCCAATCTTATTCCATCAACCCACTTGTCAAAATTTTGCTCATGCCCTTATTTCTTGCACATTTAATATACTCATCTGGGTTTCTGCTTCAAGTGGAGAAAAAGCTTTATAAAGTTTCCTGTCTTGATTTTTTCATTTGACTTCAAGTGGAGAAAAAGCTTTATAAAGTTTCCTGTCTTGATTTTTTCATTTGACTTCAGAGGACTGCATTTCTCACTGTCTTATTCTTCAGGTAGGATTTTTTGTGTCCATCTCTTTTACTTTTGCTAAACAGAAAAGACATAGTTTAGGACTTGCTTTCTTCCATTGGCCATTGGTGTCCTGTGGTTTGAGCCAACAGTGTTGTCAGTATTGCCTCATCTGGAGAGAAAGCACTGAAACACTTCAGAATTTATAGTTCCAGCCAGGCCTAATATGTATCCTCACATGGCATTTGAATAGTACATAGTGGTCTAGTTGCTATTAAGCTTTATAGATTATTTCAGGAATGTTCTTACAGACTCAATTTGAAAATCTTTTGCTGTCTGATTTGCTTCTTTCCAAAATATTTTTCTTGAAGTATTAGTTTTGATGGCACTCTACAAACTCGATTTTTGGTGAAGGTATTTTTTTCTTTCATCAGGTTAGTCACAATGCATTCATAAATTCAAAATCACATTTTTTTTTTTAAGAAAGATTTCTTTTTAGAAATGTAATTCATATTAGGTTTTTTTTGCCCTTACTTACTATTTATGTAGTTGATGAGTTCAATCCACGTAAGATTCTAAAGCTTTTAAAATATATTACAGGGACACAGTGTATCTGAAATCATTTAGCATGATCCAAAGTACAAAGTACAATTGAAAAGGCAAAAAGAAAACTACAGTATACTGTGTCACAAAATTAATGAGGTTATTCCTGACTGAGAGTTCAGCCTCTCTACTGAACAACTATTCCTGGCATTGCTTGGACATATTTGAGGAGACATTGAGAAGTGTGGGAGGATATTCATTGAAAGATCTGATCTTCTCCTTGAATAAAAATTTCATTCTTCAGTGATGTGTCCATCAGATATCTACGTAGGCATCTCTTAGCAGTTGCTCCTTCAAAGCTGGGTTTTTATTTCTGATCTATTTTCTGTCCAAGAGTCACTGCAATATAACTACTGTAAGTAAAGTTATTTTTTAGGATGTGTTTGAGTGCCTAAACTTAAGGACCTGATCCTGCAGTTTTGTCCAACTAAATGACTTTATTCTCATTTGGCTTGTTAACATTGCTATTATTACACAACTGTGGTGCGCTACTGAGGGGCAGTACATATTGATTAAACCCTATTAAAGCATTCAGTTTCTCTCATAAAGGATTGATGAGCCACATTTTTCCTTTTCTTTCAATGCAAACCTTCATTTGCTAGTCTCTTTAGCAAAGTTTAATTTGGATTTTTGGCCAGGTGTTCAGTCACAGTGAAATTGTTTCTGAGTACAATGTGAATGTAAAGTATCCTTAAACTGACTTTACTGCCCATTGCCCAGCACAAGTCTCTCCCTGAAGCCCAATGACGTGTGTTTTCTGGAAGGTGTGTTAGCAGAGGAGTTCATTAAAATCCCCAAAGCACTGTGGGTGTCCTGTGGCCATGGGGGATTTTGTGATCACACTGGAGGTTAAAACCCCAGGTCAACTCTGCAATGATATTTTCCTGTCTGCCTCTTTTGACTACTGGATTTCTCAATTTACATAATTATTTCATTGAATTTTTGTTCACTGCTCAATCAGGAAGCAGACAATAGTGGCTCAAAGAAAGCATCAGTACCTCAATTTTTCATGTGTTATCATCTCTGAAACCTAATTTGTACCTATATTTATTTATAAATGAGGTAGGATAAAATTATAATCTTTTATGCTGTTTTGCAATTCCAGCATTTACCTCTTGTCCTTCTGTTTGACTCTTGGTTATGTTCAGTTCTCTTTATCAAGGCACTCCTACTAGACTTTCCTTGCATAGTTAGTGTTAGCTGTGCCAAATTCCTGAGATGTTTAGTGAGTGAAGCCAATGCCTTCAGCTAACAAACTTGAGCATTACAGGGTAATCCAGGCCTTGTATTATTGCTGACACATTGTTACAAAACATACTGGCAAAGAAAACACTCATAATGATAAACGCCCACAATAAATAGCTGAAGGACAGTGAGCATTCAGAGACTAGAACCTGTAAGAAGGAAAGAGTATTGGGATATGTGTAACTGTGTAAAAATAGGAGAAAATTTAAAAGGAAA